TTGTACTCTGGAAATTTGTACCCTGGGAACCAACTTGAAGGCCTTTGTGATTTTTCAAAGGATATATATGCCTCCTACTGTCCTAACTTACTTGCTTGGATAATTAAAGTGTTTTATTAGATTTTATTCAGGATAGAAACAGAACAAAACCTTCACCATATTGAAATATTTACTTCATGCTGGGATAATAGCTTTGGGTTTTTGCTCAAAGATTCCTAAAATGTTACTGTTACACTCTAAGATTTATCTTAATAATCATGGACACCTTAAATGCTAGGGCACTAATCCAGGCAAGATGGCATATGCCTGTAATCCCAGCACTCTGGGAAGCTGAGACAGGAAGATTGCAGATTCAAGCCCAGCCTGGGCAACTTAGTGACTTAGTGAGACCCTGTCTCAAATAAAAAATAAAAAAGTGCAAAGGCCCTGGATTCCATCCCCAGTTCACAAATTTTAAAAAAGAAAGAAAATGGGCTAAAAGTACTAAGAATTTTGTTAACTTCAGGTTTTTGTAAGGAATAGCTCAAGTGAGATGGTCACTGATCAGAGGTGACTTCTCTGTAAGGTCAGGTCTGGTCATGGTCCATCTCCCTCAGAGAGGGGACCTGACCCAAAGTGGCTGCTTTTAGCAGGAACCAGAGAAGAAGTGCTGGGAACATGCTTTCAAAAGCAGCCAGGGAGTTCCTGAAATGTGGCTGTACGGATATTAATTATAGTTTCATTGTTAAATAGTGAATGGTGTTTGAGCCACTTTCTCTGATTCCTTTTTTTTTTTTTTTTTTTTTTGTCTTTTGGAGATAGAGTCTCACTATGCAGTTCAGGTAGTTCAGACTGGCATGAAAACTGACTTTGTAACCAAGGCTGACCTTGAACTCACAGTGATTCTCCTGCCTCAGCCTCCCAAGTACTGGGACTACAGCCATGTGCCACTGCACCTGACCTCTGATTCCTCTTGATACACTGTCCTTTGGCTATTTTCTTGAGAAAAGGTAATATCAAGGAAAAATTCCTGGACTGAGGAGAAGTAAAATCGGCCTCATGTTAATTGGAGTAACTAGGATAAGGTCTTGCTGAGGAAGTACAGACCAGCACAGTCCTAACCAGGGCAGGAGGAAGGCTTTCTCAAGTCTCTTGAGAACAACACCCTTCATGGGAGAAAAAAGCCATTCATGACTTCTTCTTCCTTTGATCACCTCGTTTTGCAAGTGTTTGTCAAGTATTTGCAAAAGCCTCCCTGCTCAAACAAGGATGCGGGAGTGTGTGCGGTCCAGTGTCACACACACACGGGGACCAGCACTCAGTCAGTGATTGTCTTCACCCTCTTGCTAGTTGTCTAAGCAAACATCCCCTGAGCTGCTGTGTGTGCCACTGGCCTGTGAGTGACAAGGGCAGGTGGAGGACATCATTTCCTGACCGTGGAAGAGGATCCTGAGGCAGCTGCTGCTTCCTGTCACTTCACTGGCAAAATCAGATTGTCCCTTCCAGTGTGCTGCTGATTGACCACTGTAATCGCACGTGACCCGGGAGCCTGGTTAAATAGTGTCTGCACTGTTGGTGACACTGCTGCTGACCCTGGAGAAGTCTGCTTCAGACTGGCTTTCGGGGAGTCTGCAGGTCACTGGCAGCAGAAGGCTTAGGGCAGGGCCCTTGTTCAAGACGAAACCGAGGTCACCAGTCTGCAGTTTCCTCTTGGTGCCCCTGCTGGTGTCCGACCCCAGTGAGCACTCGCTCAGTAAGGACCGAGTGAGCCCATTAAACTGCCCGTCAGAACAGTGGGAGGCGGAAGGTGTCTGCAAGTGGGCAGTCTGGTTAAACACTCACTTGCACATTTGGGGTTTTACATTTTTCAGCTGTTTTCTTTCACCTTTCACTGATTATTCACTCCCTTTGGCTTTTGAGGCTTTAACGCTCCTGACGGTCTGTGGATGTCGTAGCTCCTGCCCGTCTACACCTGCTCACGCTCTTCTCTGCATCCCTAGTTCCTACTTCCCTCTAGATGGCCTTGGAAGCCAGCTGTTTCTGGAAGCTTCCTTGACTTCTCCCCTTCCCTGCACAGCCCCAGGAAGGCAGGCGAGGGTCTTTGCTAGCACCACCCTGTCCGATAGTGTGTGTGTGGTTCAGCCTTCCTCCCCTGAGCCTATGAGGGGACTGTGTGGTGTTCACTTCTTATATCTGCAGCCAGCTGACAAGGGACATTCAGCAAATAGCGCCGGCTGAACCACCAAGTCCGAGCTCTCGTGATTCTCTACTAGTTGACAGTAAGCCCTTGAGGAAGAGTAATGACCCCTACTATTCACACAGGCTGTGTTCATACAGCCATTCATACAGGGCCCTGCCCTGGCTACCACACGTGTAGTCACTCACTGAGCCTCAGACTTCACCAGTTCATTTATAGATGGTGAAACTGAGGCACAGAGCACTAAAGACACAGTTGTTCAGTGTCAGGGTACAAACCCAGGCCATTTGGCTCCAAAAATCACATTTAGTACAATGCATCTTGTCCCTTGTTCTTGTTTTCCAGCATGGTCTGATATTATGGGTAGAAAAAAATCAGAAGGCATCTCAGAACTTTAACACATAACAACTCATTCCTGTCTGAATAAGAGAGAGGGAGGCTTGGAGGGGAGGGAGATATGTGGGTTAAAGTGAAAGACTTCATCAGATTGTAGCATATTTTGAAGTAAGAAAAGGTTTTTAAAATTACTTCAGATTTTGTTCTTTTTAGCAGTATTTTTTTTTGGTACCAAGAATCAAACTCATGATTTCATGCTTGCCAGGCAGGCGATGTGCTCCTGAGCTGTGTCCCAGGCTAGCAGTATTTTAATAACAAAACAATTTAGATGGAAATATCAATCAAGAGAAGATGGTGAATACCTGACTAGCTTTTATGCTATGATTTTATATTTAGAGTTTTTTCTAGGTATTGCAGATATTTAACAAGGTATTTTTTATTCTTCTCCTTGCACTTTCAAAATACTATGAGAATCTCTGAGCTCTGTAGCGTGCAGAGACTTTTCACATGCCTGTCTTACTGTGGGTAAACTTCTTGGGAAGCCGATAGACTGGGGCGTTCCGCACATCCTCAGTGCCTGTGCTGCCGGGAGCCTTTTACTAACTGCAGGGGGCCTCTAGCAGGGCAGCGATTGATCGATCCATTGATCATCTCCCTGGTGAGCTCCTCTGTTAGGTGGGGGCTCTTTTAGATGGGAGCGACCGAAGGATGACTATGTCTCCTACATTTTTATTCTGCAAACCTACCTGCAGTAGATGTCTAGTAAACACCTACAGTTTAGTGCACTCGGGAAAGCCATAGAGTGACCCGAGTTGGTATTTATACCACTGAATGACTGGTTGTGGTGCTAATACACTCTAGGAAGCCGGCCAAAAGCGGCATATAAAAGGAATTCTCACCGCAGTCACCCACGTAACATGAAAGAACGGGAGTGAGATTGCTTTGTGGAGCCAGGGGCTCTTGCAGTTTTAGGTTCAAAAGTACATTCATTCATTCATTTATTATTTATTTATTTAGAGACAGGGTCTCACTATGCAGCTCAGGCTGGCCTGGAACTCACAGCAGTCCTCCAGCCTCAGCCTCCCAAGGGCTGGGATTACAGCATCCACCACCACGCCTACCCTCAAAAGTACAATTAACCCCCAGAGACAAAACATGCTGTGAAATACTAGAAAGCACAGGTAGACGTTTATAAGCACACATAGACTCAGAGTCTTTATGTTAAATATTCCATAAAGTAAAGACCTTCAGATAAATTTGAGGAAAAGAATTTTCACAGAAATGGCAGGGCAAGGAAATTCTGCCTGTTGGATTCATCGTTTGGCAGTTTAATAGACAGAGGCAAGGAGACAAACTGTAGACAGAATGTTCATATTTACTACAAAAGTCATTGTTAGAAGGACTTGACAGAAATATTCTTCATTTCCCAAAAGAAGCAACTGAAGTCAGATGTTAAGCAACTTGCATGAGGTCCCCCAGCTGGTAAATAATGGAGCCCAGGTCTGAGCCCGCTTCCAGAGGCCCTGCTCTTCAACAGCGTATTGCATTCAGAGTGACACCTTACCAAAAATAACAACAGTAACAAAAACCAACACCCATCTTTAGAGGAAGTCTCTTCATGGCTATTGTTTCACCAAGAGTCGCTGTCACCAGCATTCTCAACCTGGATGTAAATCCTGGCAACTCATGACAGAATTCATGGTTTGGTGATTTTTTTTTTTTCTTAAGGCAAGAGGTTGCAGAAAAACTATGGAGCATGTTTATCCTTACTGATCATCACATAAATAAAAACCAGACAACAGAGATTTTTTTTTTTTACTTATCTAATTAATAGTTTATCTTTAGAATTAAAATACCTGAGAGGCAACGAAGCCCAAACTGTTACCCTTTGCTGGTGGGAGGGTAAATTGGTAAAATATTTTAGTAAACAAACAAACAAAAAAATACTATTTTATGTCCAGAGCTTTCTAAAATATGCCCTTTGCTCCAGGAATTCTATTCATGAAATTCTGTCCTGAAAAATAATCTTAAATACAGAGAAGACATGCATACAGATACATGAAGGTATGGTCACATAATAAAATGTGACGGCTTTTATTTTAAACTGTGCTTTATATCATATATAAAATACATCCAAATGCAGAACACTTCCTTTTAAATAAGCTTATTCCTTTCCCTTCATAGTAAAGTATCCTGAAATATTACCTTTCTTGCTGATTTATCCTTGAGTCAGTTTTTTGTCATTGTGAATCCATACCAGAGCACACAAAGTGAGCCCTATTTTTTGGCAGTATTTTAGCATCACCCATTCATTTCTTTCCCCGTGCTTCTTTATAGCTAAGTAAAACTGCCAGCAAGCAGAGAATCTACACTACAATGATAATATAATTTTTCTTAGAAATGTTTATAGTTAATCCTTTTACCTTAAAACGTAGGCTTTTAAAGTTTTCCCTGAATCTGTTGTCAAAGCACAGATTCTAGTACTTACATAGCAGCAACTTGTCCCAGCCTCTGTGAGCAGCAGTTAGTATTTGCCCGGACTGGAGTCAGTTGAGCTTCGCATGTTGCCTTAAGAGACGCTGTGCAGACGCCCTTTTATGGTGTCGCCTTCTTTTCCTGTCGCCCTGTGACTGAGCATAGTAGTGATCGGCTAGCCTCACATGCGTGTGCACTTTAAAAAAAAAATGGGAAGTGAAATTTTTCTGATACTGATTAAAAAAAAAAACACTATCCAAAAGCCCCTTGGAATTTATGAACTGTTGGTGTGTATGGAACTTTATAAAATTTTGTGTAGATTTAAGTAGTATCAAAAAAATCTTTCAAGCAGTAAAGCCTTAAGGAAAGAAAGAATCATAGTATAGCTTCTGATGATTTTATATTGATATTCTGTGTAAACGTATAGGTTTTTTTTTTAAATGCTTTAAAGAAAAAAATGTTAACTTTGGCGATGCTATCTACTTGGAAACTTGGTATCAGGAACAGTTTACCCAGTGTGAAGCTTATCATCTTTTCATGACAAAGATCAGGTTTCTGTGGTGAGTAGAGATGACACTCAGGTGGTGTATAGACCCTGGAGAGGCCACCTGACCCGCTCACTGGCTGCCAGGAGGTGCAATGGCAAAGAGAGTTGAAGGGCGGTACTTAGAAATAAGGTCCAGTTTTTGGGGTCAGAATGAGAGAAAAACATTGCTGCATCACTCTGCTCACCCTGTGTAGGTGATTTCAGTTTAAACCACCAGTGTCACCTGCCTGTGAAATGCAATGTATTTGTAGGCTTAGTTACTAGAAATACTATGCTCCAAACTGGACGTGCTACTTACCCTCAGTCAGGACCGATCTGGCCATTCGCAATCAGTGCTGGCGGCCAGGCAGTGAGGGCCCTGGGTAGCAGGTCTTCCGAGAAATGGTTGGATGAGCTGAGACAGTTGGGCACTGCAGGGATTTGGTCATTATCCTCATGCATTTGGGAACTGTCTCACCAAAGAGGATTTGGATTGTTTTTGTCTCTGTTCCCAATTCCAGAGAGTAGAAGGAGGGCCAGTAAGAGAAAGTTACCGGAGAGCGTTTCCAGATCAGAAGATGAAAGTCATTCCTGAAAGTTAGAATTATTTTTTTAGTGGAATGTGCTCTTTCTTATTTAGATGCTTGTGTAAAACAGGTGGTGATGTTGAGTGATGCTAAAGACTTGAATCATTTGGCAGGAATTTGTATGACCAAAGCATGTGACTCCAGAGCCCTTTTTGCTCCTGGATTCTGTGAAAGTGCTCACATGGCTTTAGCCTCTCAGTGATGTCATTAAGTTCTTCTAAACTCTGAATTGCTGAAGACTTGTGGAAGAGCATTTTTCAAACTGATGAATAAGCAATAAAGGGATTAACAAAGTGGTCACCAAGATAATCCCCTGGGGGAAATCCAGAGATCGTATGATTTGGTGGAGGAACACGGCATAATATTCTGGAACTAGTTCATTTAAAACATGAGTGGAGGCTGTGGGTGTTGCTCAGTGGCAGAGTGCTTGAATAGCACGCGTGAGGCCCTGGCACAAAAACAAAACAGAACAACGGCAATAACAAAAACACCGATCAGCCCTGTTGAGAAATTTTGCAATTTGTTGAAAGGCCGTGTGGGTGGGATTTTGTGGCTTTTAATTTTAGAAATAGTTACTATTAAGTAAAATACGAGAGGCTCAACTAGTGTAAAGAGCTGTCCTTAGCAAACTTGATCCATCCTGGTTTGGGTAATTCAGTTGTCAGGTATATGAAAAAGAGGCAACATCCTGCAGATGCCGTTAAAGTTCCATGTGAAATAATTTCCTGAGCTCAGAGACCTTCATTGGATTGTTGTTGAAAGTTAGCAGGGTTTCTTTAAAACTGGAGTTGTTGTCCTTTTCTGTATGAGAGGAAAGATGGGCCTTTGTGATCCTAACTGAGGGTCTCCATTATTTATCTGTTGACTACAGCGGTGAGCACATAGGAGACACGCAGTAACTGTTAGTGACGTTAGGAATGAAGGAATGCCTTAAACCTTATTTTCTCTCTTTTGTACTTCTGACCTCACATGCGTAAGAGAAGGCTTCTAGAAGTTATCCACTCACACTAAGAAAAAGGTCAAACTGAATTATTGTTGGCAGTGTAAAGAACAGATGTTTTCATGAAATAAGGAAAAGAGAAAAACTGGTCAGTGACTAATAACATTTTGGTATTTTGTGAAGTCTGTATGTATAGAAATAGCAACGGAAAATTTTTACAAAACAGCCTGTATAATTCTGGCGTAAAATGTGTGATTTTGTATTATGTGTATATGTGGTTTAGCATTTAGTCATCCTTTAAAAATATACACTGATTAATAACTTTTAAGGGATTTTTAAACTTCTCCTGTTGGTGTTTAACATGTAAGCTGTGGTCATTAAAATTCCTGTCAGTATTTTTTGGTTTATGTTGAAATGTAACCTCAAACAAGAACAGTGCTTCAGGTTATTTAATTATAGCAGCACGACTTATGCCTTATTGCTAAATGTAAACAGAAGAACTTCTATGAATGAGTACCTCCGGGGTCATGTTCTGTGGGGAGAAAACCCAGCTCAGCTGCTAACCAAAGTACTGTTCTATTACTTCTAGGTGATCACGACGCCACATTTTAAGTATGTGTGTGAGATTGTATGTTTTAATCCCATGTAAAATAACAAAGCAAGGAAAGGGACTTTTTTAAAAAATAAAAGTTACGTTCTGCTGTATGCTTCTACTTGTTTAAAAGGAAAATGGTTGTGCAGGTATTTACTGGGCACCTGTTTAGTGCCAAGCTCGGTTCTAGACAGTGAAGATAAAGCAGCGACCAGAGCAGACCAAAATCCTTGTGCTGTGGAGCTTCCATCCTCGCTGGGGCGGGAGATGACACATGAATGAATCACGCAGGAGACGAAGTTCATAGGTGCCCTGGGGGAAGATGGCCAGAAAAGGAAATAGAGTACAGCGCGCATGCGTGTGTGTATGGGTGTGTGTGCGTGTGCCCACGCATACGCACACGGGTGGTCATTGGGGGCTGCTCTGAGCAGTGGACCAGTGTAGGGGTGGGGCACACGCACCTTGTAGTTTTGTGGTAACACTGGCCTTCGTTACAAGGGGAAGAGTCCTTGGAACATTTTAAGCCCAAGAATGTCTTAACTTGTACTTTTCAAGAAAAGAGAGCACAGTGGTTTAATCAACTGTCTCTGAGTTTAGAATCGGACAAAACCAGTTCTTCGGTGAGAATGTGCTTTAATTTTTTTAATCTAATGAACACAGTAGCAGTCTGCATTAGGCAGTAGGGGATGCAAAGCTAGGTAAATTGTAGTGCTTCCTCTTAGCATTAATAATCTAGTTGGAGATTTTTGAACTCCCTAAATAGTTCATTAAAATGCAGAGCAAGAATAAGAGTTATTTTGTTTCCCCAAGTGTAACGAGTTCCTAAGCTGTGCCAGGCACAGAGCCGGTGCTGCAAGGAGCAGCAGGTCTCGTCCCTCCCCTGCCTTGCCGTGTGCTCCCTGGGGGAGGAGAGTGGCAGCGCGCACAGCCCACCAACCCACCACCCCTCAGCACCACAGGCCGCTGCCCTGCGGCCCCGGCCTCACTGGGCCTGCAGCCGGGGACCCCACACAGATCTGAGCTCCAGTGTGAATGCAGCACCTGCGCAGTGTCAGCTGACTAGTTTTCCCTGACACTTTTGCTGCACCCTTGCCCGTACCTGCTCATGTTGCTCCCACTTACCACCTGTGTGTGTGCGTGTGAGTGTGTGCACGCGTGTGCATGTGTGTATGTGTGTCCAGTTGTCGGGGGAGGAGAGAGAGAACACACTGTGTGGTGTGTGTGTGATGAGGCAGATAGGGAAGAAGACAGTAGTGGGAAAGGGATAAGGGAACCGCAGGTCTTCTCTATTTCATGGCAGTCTTTAAATTCCATTTTGGACACTGAAGCCTGTGGGAGGAATGGTCCTAAGCAGTCGAGTATATGACAGATACCTGCCTTCAGGCACAGGGCCTGGGAAGACCTGTTTTGAGGAGTGGGTAATGGTAAGCCATCTAGTTTGTGGCCTCAAATTGAGGCTCCAGGCCAGGGCATGGGACAGGCAGCAGTGTTAGGACTGGCTTCGTTTTCCTAGTTGAAGCCATGGAAGGTGTTGAGATTGTTCAGGGTGAGACTAGAGCAAAGAGAAAAGACTGTCATGGAGCCCTGGAGACTGGAGGTGTGGAGAGGAGTCATCGGGCACCAGCAGGAAACGGGGTCAGGACGCAGGAGGAAGGCATTGGAAGGAGGGAGGGCAGGAGCAGCAAGCAGGGCCGGTGCTCCTGAGGTGATCATCCCTCAGCGGGAGGTGAGGCTTTTGGCTTTGACCATGAACAAGCCTAGTGTTTGTTGCTTTTGGTTTTTGTCTGGTTCTCTTTCATTAGCATTTACATCATTCATGGGAGACAACATAGCACACACTTTAAATTTTCTCACAATTAATTAGCAAAAGCTGAACCACTTCTTTGCAGTGGTTTTGAGAGAGTGAAAGGGTAGGCTAATTAGAGTTTCTATGAAGTGTGACGTGTAATTACAGATTATTTTGCACAGGATGCATGTTTGGAAACCAACTTATGTATATAAGACCATGCTTCGAGACTGAATAGATGATAAGTAGTGTTACTTCCAGTGTCCATTGCCATTGGTGTTTTGAATTCAACCTTATTCGATGGTGATTCTTCTCTGTTTGTTTGCATAGCTTGGCACCTGTGTTTGCTCTGTTTGTCCCATTTTACTGCTCCATACCGAGAGTCCAGGTGGCACAAATTCTGGGCCCATTGTCCATCACAAACAAGACATTGATTTATATACTGGGACTACAGGTACAGTATGCGTTTTATATTCACATTTCTTTAAGCAGCTCTTTTTTTCTTTTTTGGTCTTTTTTTCTCATTTGATCTCCTTGAAGACAATGCTTTTTCCCATGAGTTTGGCTTCATGATCTGTATCAAATGTTCAGAGGAAGTGTTACAGAATAAGAACATCAAGGTGTGGAAGGTACTAGAATACTTTCACAGTCTTTAGAAATCTGATAAGCGCTTTCACTGTAATTTGTATCAGTGGAAAATATTTTCACTTAATTGTACGATTGCATGTAAATACTTTTAAAAATCATAGCTTGAAGTCGAAACATGAAAACAATGGAAAGTGGAAAATCAGCTTATTGAATACAGTATCAAAATTAAGGTTTGGTTTTTTTTTTGTCTTTTTGAGACAGGGTCTCACTATGCAGTGCAGGCTGGCCTTCAGCTCACTTTGTAGCCCAGGTTGGTCTCAAACTCGCAACAATCCTCCTGCCTCAGCCTCCCTAGTGCTGGGATTACAGGCGTGCACCACCACACCTGGCTGTGAAAGTTAACTTATTGAATACAGTGTCACAAATAAAACTGGAAGAAGAAACCCATATGCTTTGTTAATCTGAGCTTTGGGGTTTTTATGAAGCATTAGGAACATTATTGCTGCTGTGTTTGTGCAGACTTGATGGTAGCATTACCGTTTGCTAAATGGTCTACTTCAGTCCTCCCTTCCTATCTTAAAACCTGAACTTAAAAGTTTATCTTCACCGATATTCAGTGAGTACGGATTGCTCCCCAATGGGTTCCAGGCCCTGAGCTAGACACACACCCGGTTTTCAGTTTTCTCTCTGTGTCATTTTGTCATTTTTCCTCTCACAGCTTTTGATGTAAAGTTTTACCCTACAGTTTCTGTGGTACCATGTGTAGCTTGGCCTTTTGATCCACTAATTAATACTGGAAACACTCCTTATCCCACACATGGTGAACCGGATGCCAGTGTCGCTTGAAGAAGCCCTCCTCCCTCCCCTTTTAACCTTTAGCATTTCCTCTAACTTCTCTCATCTGCTGCCACCCTTATCAATGGCTCATCTGGGGTGGCTGTTTCCTTACCACTTTTACAACCATTTCTCATGAGATATGTTCACTGTTCACCTCACAACACACCTACTTTTACTCCCCTCCAACCAACCTAATAGTCCTATAGCCCAATACTTCATCTCTGTACTTTAGTCTCATGGCTGAGATTTGCTGTAGCAAGTTTTTCATTCTCTGTTTTGCGAACTTCTTGTGACAGAGGTCCTCTGGGGTGGTGGAGGAGCACGCTGGACCTGACGCCAGAAGCCCACCTTCTAGTTGCAGTGTGGCTCTTGCTGGCTCGGAGAATTAGGTCCAGTTCTGGTTCTGTGGTGGCCCTCACTGCTGTGAGACCTGAGCCAGGGCCTTGAACCCTTCTGAGCCTCCTGTTCACTGTATAATTCCTCTCAGCTTTAAAGTTACATGCAATCAAAAGGATGAGAAGCATAGTTTCCTCAGTTACGGGAATTCAGTATGGAACATGGAAAGTCTTTGGGCCCATGTGGACTTCGGCTTCATGACTTGTTTGTTGGTTATTCACTTTGTCACTTTTTCTGAGTCCCTCTTTCCCCACCTGTAAGGTGGAGATACAATGTCCATGTTACGGGATTATTTTAAGGGTTAAAGATAATGGTGTAGGATGTTTAGTGTACCCTGCAGAGATAAGAACTAAGTCAGTTGGTTCTCATTATTAATAATTTATTCCTATACCTACCCCTAGTAGTTTTTCTGGGATTATAACTGTATTATTATGACGTGAATTTTTTAGGCAGGGACAAAAACAGTAACATGTTTCATCTCTTACAGCAAGGGGGCTCCAACTGAGTAAAGAGGAGCTGCATTTATGTTACTTCTGCAGTATTACCTCGCCCACAGTGAAAGGATCCTCTTAGCCTTGCCAAAGACAAAACATAGACACAGCTACTGCAGATGCTTTAATAAAGTGATATAGACTTTTCTAAAATTGTTTCAATATTTCCGGTAACTTTGTGAGGTAGAAGTCATTATCCGAAAGTAGAAGCAGGGGTGCCTTGTTGGCTTCTGGATCAAATCTAACCCTTAGCGGCATCCAAGATTCTTGTTGGCCTACCCCGTGTTTGTTCCCAACGCCCCACCCCAGAAGCAGGCATGACTGAGCTCTGTCCTCTCTCTGCATCCCTTCCCCTGGGCTTCCCTCATGATCCAGAACCTTCCTCCCCACCTCAGCTACTGGAAGCCAGGGACATTGGCTGGATGGCTGCCTGGCTGCCTGGCTGCCTGCTGACTGGCTTTAATCGTTACCAGAAGAGCCAAAATGCTTGTCACAAAACATATGCACATCAAATGGCTTGAGAGCTGGCCGTGTAGTGCCCGGTGCTGGGGGGTGTGGAGCATGGAGCGTGTGTGAGATGTGGCACCTGTCCTTGGGGAATCTAGCAGTGAGGACAACTCACACCCTGTCAAGCCCAAGCAGACACAGTTGGCACCACCCATGCAGTAGCATGAGGGCCTCAAAGTCCAAAGGAAATCAGTTTTGTGCTGACAGAATGAGGGGCTCTTTGCTTGTGTGAGAGGCCTAACAGAGTGGCGAGCACAGGGCTGAGGAGTTGGTGCCCCAGCGCAGGCCCAGCTCCTCCATCTGCAGCCCTGTAGCCTGGAGCAACCTGCACAGCCACTGGGTCTCCCGCACTTGGAACAGAATTCACAGATCTTCCCCGATGGTGATGAGTTCAGTTTATGAAAGGCTTGCAAGCAGTGCCCAGCTTGTAGAAAATGATAGCCAGTTCATTATTCTGACTATTTGCAGAAGAGAACTACAGCAGCACATCTGTCTAATGGTTCTCATCTTTGTTATTATCGTGGCCCAGGCCTCAGAGCCAGGGCAGAGGGTACACGGGGAGCAGCAGGCAGGGCATCTGGCCAGCTGAGCCAGCACCAAGCGAAGCCTGCCAGCCTCCTGTGCCCAGGCCCTGGCTCCCTCCCCTTCCTGTCGGTCTGCCTTCTGTGTGTCCTGGGGATGTGTGCAGAGCTCACTGTGTCAGCAACACAGCGAGCAGTGCAGCCTGCTCTTCCTCTGTGATGAGAAGCCCTAAAGTCTGCACTCGGCAGCTAACACCAGGCACAAGTCACTTCTTCCACGCCGGGACACCCTGAATTGCCTTGGGATTTTTTTCTTAACCCCAGGCACAAACCTGATAGAAATGATTTGAAAAACAAAGGGAGAGAGTTCATGAGATGTAATTACTGTTGCCATTAATTTTTATTAGTAGTTTATTCTTTCTTGGGTGAAACCAGAATGAAGCTATCTACTTATATGGTGTGGACCTGTATGTTGGAAGAACCCTTCCCATCAAGATTTAGAGCAACAGTGATAAGAAATTAACATGTCTGGCACACGCCTGTAATCCCAGCACTTGGAAGGCTGAGGCAGGAGGATTGCTACAAATTCTAGGCCAACCTGGCCTCCATAGTGAATTCAAGGGCAGCCTGAACTACATAGTGAGATCCTGTCTTAAAACAAAAAAAGAAATTAAAATGAGAGATTTGTATATACAGATATCAGAGGTCATTACCTCATACCAAGCATTGGATGAGATGATGAATACATATTTTTATGTTGTTAATTCTAATAATTTCTTTAATTTGTAGTATTTTATATTACATAAGTCATTTAGTGTCCATTTATAAATAAAAATGTGCTTTATATTCACTTACTTTTCTTTGCCTACGTATGGGCCAGTTTCAGTCAATATGTTTTCAATTAAACAAAGTCTGAAATATGCGTAAAAAATTATATTTTTTAGATAACAATTAATGTTGATTAATTTGCTATTTGCTTATGTATTATATGTAATGAATATTTAATATAAGTGGTCATAACTATAGTTATGTAAAAATAAGTATGGTGTGACTGGTGATTGAATTTTATTTTTAGTTGCCTTTTTTTTTTCTTTTATAGCTTTTCACCTCTGGTTCCTACATCTGGATTGTAGCCATAAGTGGACTTGTAAGTGTGATTTGCTCCATCCCCGAATTCCCTCTTTCTCCTGGAAAGACATTAGGAAAATGTGCTCAGACTGTGGGTCCTTCCTGTCTCTGCTCTCTGATCTTGGCAGGTCTGACTCAGTGTTACCTCTTTAGTGATTAGAAAGAACCAGTTACATGGAAAATCAAGACTAAGGAGATTCCTTTGTCTCATTTGCAGAATAACCTGCATGAAAGTTGTAGCCAAGTTTTTCGTCAGAGTTATTATTAAATTACATTTGTAGCCTAATTGCAATGAGACACACACAAAAAAGGCAGAGAATGAAGAAGCTGGCCCTACTAAAAGTCAGGAGAAAGGACACTGTGTGTTGGGGAGGAAAATGAGGCTGGCGGGACAGTCGGGTGGTCGGACCTGCCTGAAGACTCATCGCGTCTTCAGAGAGGGAGGTCAGGAAATGCCGAAGGACCGGTCCTTCTGATGTGTGCTGGAGTTTCCTCCTCTCTCCCGTGCCCGCACTCCTTTATTATATTTTAATAATAAACATTTGCCTTAAACTCTTTAGGAGATATTTTAAAAGAAATTAAGAGCATGAAGTTGAGTTTTATTCATGACTTGCATATGAACTCCCAAATTCATTAAAATAAATGGTGTGTACAGAGAATAGTTTAGTTATTCTCGGAAACAGCTAAGAAAATTACCAGATAGGTTTATAGAAATATGTCCATCGTCAAAGGGAAAAAGACTTGAGATAACCACGTCCCGTGGCAGACCTTTGAGATAAGTCACGGTTATTCCTTGTTATTTCCTGTGTGAGTGACTGCTGCTTGGGCCAGTGCGGCATTCTTTAAGCCTGCTCGCCGCTCTCTTCCTTTAGTGTCGCTCTCGTGCCTTTTCTGTGTTCATTCTTTTCATCAGGAACTTGATCATCCATTCCCCTCAGTTGCTGTGCTTCCGGCTGCAGTTCTGGGGATCAAAGTCACTTTGTTTCTTCCTCCCTAGTATTTTCTCATCTCCCCAGGATCATGGAGCCGAGCCTCACGCTGAGGCCTTCAGAGCACCTGAACACTAGTTCCTAAAACTCGTGGTGGTTTCGGAACATCCTGGGATTAATCTCATGGCCAGGACACAGCAGCCAGGCTCTCCCTAGTCTGAGCTCATCACCCCTTGAACTGTCCGCTCCCCTGCCAGTGACAGCCGTAGGGTAACCAGGTGGGAGCTCTTGCTTTGTAGAGGAGAGCTCCATGAAGAGGCGCTCTTGCTGCTTGCTGCTTGTGTGTCAGGTTTGAGAGGTGATGGATTTTGCCTAAAATTCTTAAGAATTTGAGATCTACGTTATTGTATCCTATTTCATTTTGTTAGTTCACTATTGACATTTACTCTCAATGTCCATTCCACTCATTATGCGACTCAGTTGTTTCAGAATGTCGCATTTTCTTTCCTTACTCTGTTTTTAGAATTCTGATTTTAAACTAAGTGATTGCTATCACCTCAGGTTTTATTTTGTGACATTCAATAGTTAGAACTCGAGGTTGCATTTTTCATCTCTTTGTAGTCTTCTGAATATCCAAAATGTGCGTGTTGCTATCGTGGTCAATTCTAGTACACATCTTTAACAGTTAGCAGAGTGCTTGTTTTGACTTTTTAAAAGGAATAATATTAGCAGTTTTTTAAACTGGAGATTAAACCTGGGCTCTTTGCACTGAGCTCTATCCCTAGACCTTTTTTATTTTAAAATAGGTCTTGCCCAGTTTCTCAGGCCGGGATTAGACCAAGAATCCTCCTGCCTCAGCCTCTCAGAGTGCTGGGATCACAGGCATGTACTACCATAATTGGCCTAACAAAGAACTTTTAACATAAAAACCCCTTGTTTCAGAAAGGTGAATAGAATTGCAGTGTTAGCAATATAATTCCAAGGTGATTTAACATTTTAAAGACTCCTACTAAAAACAAACATCTCTAAGCCAATTGAATTGTTAACTTTTGTAGTAATTGAGTCAATTACTTATTAACCTTGTTCTTTACTATCAGTCTACCATAATTAAATGATACTGACCATGTTTATTTACAATAATTGAGGTTAATCAAAAATTAAATAAATGATTGGTAGCAATAAGAATCATAGCCAGTTTTCCTTCATGCTTACCATAAATGTTGGTGCTTGCTTTTAACTTTATAAATATTTTCTTCCTTTGTCTAGAAAATCCACATTTTTCTTATGAAATATTTCTAACAATATGATATACTTTAGGTAACAATGATTGTAAATCATTACTCATGAATGTCTGCTTTACACACACCGATTGAAGGCTCCAAGTCTGAGATTCACTAAGGCACAGTTTGCTATTCCAGATGTCTCTTGCTCAATGTGACTTCTCCTCTTTCCATGTAGATCAACCAACTTCCCTTTTTTCTTTTTTCTTTTGGTTTTGTGCTAAATAAAATACAAAAGTGAAGTTCACGCTACCAAAAAGAATTGCAAAGATGGCATTCACTGTCTGGGGAGAATGTCACAAAGCCTGTGGGTGAAATTTCAACTTTCAGCATTAAAACCAATAGTCCACCTAAAATACTGTGTGTGTTAAGGAAGTAATTTTATTTCACTGTGGCAACGAATGTGTTTTCTAATAAAAAGAGCTTCTTAAAAGGAGATATTTATGTAAAACAAGTCATTTTGTAATCTGCTGTTGTAGAAACAAAAATATGCTTTTCTGGAGAACTGCTAACTTTGGATTGAGTTTTATTCATTTAGTTATTGCTTGATTTTCTTGGGTTTGGCTAATCTTTATCTGTCCTCATGACACTCATCCCTGGATGATCACAGATAATCTGAATACATAACTTTAAAGTATCCCAGGGATTTCAAACAGAGGTTGATAAAGTCCACATGAAGTGCAGTGTTTCCCCGCTAGTACCCCACTTTCTGTCTTCAGTGATGTCACAGAAAAGAGCAAGGACTGAACCATTTCCCTGGGCTGAGGGAAGGCAGAGGCTTTAGCTTATCAGGAACAACAGGAAGTTAGTTTGCCTGAGATGCTGTCACTCTTCCATTCCATTCTGTGACACATTGGAGATTTCACCTGCTATTCAGGAAAGATGGGGGCGTTCAGTTGAGCTCAATGGTTAGAGACTCTTTACATTTATCATTGTTCTTGTTGCTTTTGACAGTTCTGATTTGTAATAACAACATTTAATATTTTAAATACAACAGTTTTCATGAAAGGCCTCAAAATGGTGATTGGAAAGCTGCTGTAGTAGCGAAGGGAAATATTTCAGAGCTTTAAAATTTTCATAAGTTCCTGCTTCCATCATTAGCTACTACCGTTGCATTCAGCTGTTTTCTTGTGTGCCTTCTGTAGAACTCTGGCAAAGATTGAGGTTACTCTTTAAGTCTGCACAATTCTGCTAGTCTTTTTTACACATTGACACTTTTTTTCCCTTAAGGCGTTGCTTACTTACTGAACTTTGTTTAAAGTATTTTTGTGGTTCTGCTGAGAGCCTTGGAGCCCTCTCTGTCCCAGAACTTCTTCATTTTCTACAGCTTAATGAATCACAGTAATGAGTCATTACCACTGGGATGTACCCCGAGTCTCAAAAGCTGAAGTCTTGCACCTGATCTGATTCTGGCCTGATTAAAATAGAAAGGCCCGATTTTGCCGGTTTTCTCTGTATTTGCCACAATGCAATTCATGCCGGTTTTCTCTGTATTTGCCAAAATGCAATTGTGTCTTCTTTCAAGCTATTTAAGAGCAAATCACCAACTCAGTCTCTAGACTTCTTCACTTTACCATGTGCCTGTACTATACTGTGTTTGCCTGTTCTGTACACCATACTTTGTCATGTGACCAAGCAACCTTAGTGTGAAAAAAATCTCTCCTCCCTGATAGTAGGATCAGTAATGTAGATCTACAGCAGATTACTTAGAACTTTGAATGCGGTTTGAGTTTGGATTATTTTCTTAGGCAGCAGGACTCTTTGAGGCTTTTCAAACAAATGCTGTTCAGATGGTGTGAGATTATCGAACCTTACTCGTTGTAAATGATAGAGGAAAGGAAGGTGAGCTCTCTGGAAGGGGCCAAGATGGGTCATCTGTGGGCCGTGATTTGTCTTTGTCTCTCTTCTGCATGGTAGTTTTAAAGACACTGCCTTATAATAACTGAAAAAATAGAAATAGCACAATCTACTATGGCAATGTCCACTTTCTTTGGAGCAAGTTTTGGGGCCCTGATATGCTTCCTGGGTGATGATAATGGGGTCCCAACTGCCTCCCCCTATTTGTGCTTGTTTTTCTCTTCTCAGCACACTTGCTTTCTTGTGTGTGTCCTCATTTCCCTTAGATTTCTTCTCCAGATTGCCCGCGTGGGGGTACAGGGTATCTGACCTTCAAGGACATCAGGAAACTACAGTTTGGGTAATTCTTAAGCAGCTCATTGACATGAAGATGGGGGCTGCAAGAACAATCAAGACCAGCTAAAGCTGTCAGCTTGGCTGGACTTCCGGAGGATCCCATGTGTGAGTAGATGACCACCAGCATCTCCTTAGGAAACGTCCAGCCTGAGAGGGTGCTTTCACCCTCTTCTAACCAAAATAACAATTCTGATCCCAGCACTGAATTGCGTGCTGTTAGTCCGTTGTGCATCACACACACACACACACACACACACACACTTTCTCTCACACTCATATTTATGTGACTCATTCATACTTCCCTCTCTGCCTTCCTCTCTGCTCCTTCCTCCTCTATCCTGACCTCAGGAGGCCTGGCCCGCCATACTCTGCCTCGTTAGTGTAGTAGAACCTAGTGAAAGCTGATAGAAGTCTTTTGTATCAGCTTTTCACTTTATAAATGTTATCTTGATTAGTCTCACACAAACCTGAGGAAGTAGGGACTGTCCCTTTAGAATTGTATATAAAAAAATGTACGTGTGTTTGTAGTACAAATGCTTAGCATGAGATCTACTCCCTTAAGCAATTGTTGATAAAGGTACAGTGTTGTATGTCTGCTGTCTAGAGCTTGTTCATCT